GGACGCACTGAGACGCTGCGGTCCTGCACGAATGCTGTCTACGAATTCCTGCTGGCCTCCGGCAACAAGAATACAACGGATGAGCAGCTGGTTAAGGCGTTTCGCGCCGCTGTCGTTGATCATCGACATCAGATGGACGAGGCACGCAAGGGTCATGGCATAGACAGGCACCTCTTCGGGCTGTGGTGCGCAGCCTATGAGAACAACCTGGACATACCCGCTCTGTATGATGATCCGCTCTATGCCAAGGCCGGCGGCGGTGGCAATTTCGTCCTATCCTCCAGCACGCTGGGCTTTACGCCCAATGTGGGCTTTGTGGCGCCCATGACACTGGATGGCTATGGTGTCTTCTATTCAATTACCTCGGATGCGTATGTCTCACAGCTCCCATACAGTCCTTTGACCATATTAAAATACTTCCTTCAACTTGCAGCGTCTACATGAACTCGACTGCCTATCGGGACAGCATCAAGAGCAGCGCACGCAAATTCAATATCATCTTCATGGAGTCGTTCCGCCGCATTCGCCGGCTGCTAGAGCAGCAGCAAAGTGATTCGAAATTGTAAACTGCCAAGCGACGAGATATATATACGAGTCAGCTTTCTATATAATGCAATATGCAATCGGCATTCCATGTGGAGTTAAATTAAAAAAATAATTATCAATTCCATTTCAAATCAGCAGGAGATTTCATATCATAATCTACTTTTATATGTACTATGTGTAGGCCTTAAGCTCATAATATTCTTGTTGTCCTAGGTCAGGCATTTTAATTAAACTGCTCATATAAGTTTGTTTGGGTACCAGAATTTTCGTCAGAGTCGTTATAACCTGATTCCACTGTATATATACAACCACTATCAGACATATGTTGAATATAGAAAATAGATTCAGTTTTGTTTGAAATAGTAAAGGGTTTTTAACATTATTGACATTATATTTAGCCCAAACCTTACGGATCAATTAAAAAGTTACTTATAAGTCAAATAAATTGAATTCGCAAAATTATTAAAATTTAATTTTAGATCTAAAAGTTTTGTATCTATATTTGTTAGAAGGATAAATGTTTTTGTATTTAAATTGTTCGTTGAAATCGAGAGATTGATTCTGATCAGATCAGCTAATTCGATTCTGTTTAGGATATTCACTAGTCAAACCAGCGTTATTCAATTTATTTACTTCTTTTTGTAACCTCTATAGATCCAAAACAGATCTAATATTGTCTATAAAATAATCATATTTTTTTCAGGGTTTGCTTTAAGTGTTACAACTTTTATTGAAATTCAAATGTTCAATGATTAATTACAATTCACGATTAATCCAACTTCAAAATGCGACTATATATATTTATATATATTCATGTATTTAGATAATAAGCGCCAGCGAGAGGACTCTGGTTAAAAATTCTTTTGATACTTTCTATTACTAGATATATATAGTATATATATGGATTACTTGGAAAGCCTTACGCTGAACTCTGGGTGTAGTCGAAACGACCTTAGTTAGTTCGATTAAGTGCAACTATTCGCTAATTACAAATGTGTGTGTGTGTGTGTGTATGTGTGCTCTAAAAAAGGTTGAGTGAGTGTTGGGGCAAGGATCACAGATCCCTTCCGCTAAAGAAACAATCTCGTCAAAATCTTCGGGTTTTTCGTGCCCTTTAGTGGGCACGATAGTAGCTAATCTGAGGCGGCAGCAGGGCATAGCCACTGGACATCAGTTCCTCCTGTGCTTGATGGCTGCGCAGGTGTCGCTGTTGCTGTTGCTGCTGCAATTGCAACTGTTGCTGCTGCCGCGGATCAGCATAAACGTGCACTCATTCTTGCCCGGGCACCGCAGCCACCAGGTGGGTCTGGTCAACGGCCGCTGGCTGAGCAACAGTTGCACTGCTGTTACCATCGTCGCTCGGTGTCTCTGCTGCCGACGCGGGCGGCGGCTGGAAGGCCGGGCGTTGCACGAACATGTTGTCAATGATGTGATCGATGTTGTCGCCGCTGCCACTGCCACTGCCGCTGCCACTGGCCCCCTCGTCCGGCTTGGCCGTGCGCGTCTTATGCTTCTCGGATGGCGGCAGGATGGGTATGGCATTGGTGGGTCGTCTCTGGGGCAGCACAGCGGGGCGGGTTGTGGTCTGGGCCGGCGGCACGAAATATGTGGTGCCGCCGACCGTATTATAATTCTGATGATAGGCCTGGCCGGCCTGCGTGGACGGCGGCGGCGCCGCCTGAGGCGCTGGCTGTGGCGCCACCGTGGCTGCCGACTGTGCCTGGGCATAGGCCACGGCCGCTGGCGTGGCCGGCAGATAGGCATTGCTGGCCGGATTCACATACGGTGCCTGCGGCACTGACACGGGCACCGGCACCTGCACCGGCACAGGCACCTGCACGGGTACCGACTCATAATAGGGCGCGCCCTGCGTCTGTGGATAGGCTGCTGCGGGCGGCGCATGTTGCTTGGACTGAGGCGCGGCCACCGCTGCTGGCGGTGCTGGGCCCAATTGCAGTGTCTGCAGCTGCGCCTGCAGCTCCTGCTGCTGGTAGGCGATCTGCATGAGCATGTGAGGATCCTGCAGCATTAGCTGCGATTGTTGTTGCTGCTGCTGCTGCTGTTGTTGCTGCTGCTGTTGCAGCTGCAATTGTTGCTGCATTTGTTGCTGTTCCACTAGATGATGCTGCTGCTGCTGCTGCTGCTGTTGTTGCTGTTGCTGTGAGGCCTCGTGCTGGCTGCGCCTCAGACTGGAGTAGCGCTTAGGCCCGCTGCGCTGCTCCGCTGGCAATTGTTGCGGCTGCTGCTGCTGCTGTGCCAGATGCAACTGTTGCTGCTGCTGTTGGTTCTGCGTGGCCAGCGAGTGCATTTGCACGCTGCCCACATGGCTAGGATCGTTACGCTGCTGCACCTGTTGCAAACGATGCGATAGATTCGATGTGGCCAATGGCAGATGCTTTTGCTGTTGTTGAGGCTGTTGTTGCTGCTGTGGTTGCTGCTGTTGTTGTGGCTGCTGCTGTTGCTGCTGCTGCTGCTGTGGTTGCCTGTGTTGTTGTTGTTGCTGCTGCTGTTGTTGTGGCTGCTGTTGCTGCTGTTGCTGTTGCTGCTGTTGCTGCTGATGTGTCTGTATATCGATTATCTGTTTCGGTCCGCTGCCATTCGATCTGTTCACATGGTAATCCCGCTCGCCGCGTTGCTCCGCATAATCGCGCTGATCGCCGCGTCCATGTGAACCACGATTTGACTTCTGTTTGAACTCCATGGCATTTTGTCGTCCGTTGGCATTGTGGCCACCATTGGCGCGTCCATAGTTGCGCTGCCTGGGCTCACGCTCACGCGGCTCCTGCGACTTGCCTCCTGCCATTGAGCCGGAGCCAGTGGCGTGCTGTTTCTCGTTGCACACGCCAGCTGCAGTGGCGGCATGATTGTTGCGTCGCTCGCCGCGATTCTCCTTCTCCTCGCGCGAAATGGAGTTGCGCGGTCGACGCACTTTGTTGTTGCTGCTGGATGTGCTGCTGCGCTCGTTGAGTGCCGGGAAGTCCTGGGGTCGGGGTGGCTTGCGTTCCTTATTGCTGGCCTTCAGATACGCCTGCTCATCCTCCCAGTTTCTCGAGTATTTGCTAGGTCCACGCCCATAACGTCGTCGGCGACGGGCACGCGGCGCCGCATCCTCGTTGCGTATATCGTATCCATAGGATTGCAGTAGCTCTGCTCGAGTTTTGGGCGCCTGCTCGCTGGCCTCGAAGCGATCGTGGGACCAACGATCACCGCCCGAAGCTGGCTGCCATTTCTTCATGGTTTTCGAAGCTTGTGATATGGTTGGCGTCTGTCCAGCCGGCGTAGATCCTGTGGCAGTGTTGCCATTGGACACATCATCGCCAGTGGGCTCCACACCCGGTGGACATTGGCCACCATCGCTGCCAATATCAATAACGCCGTCGGCTTCCGTTTCGGCCGTGCGGTCGTCGTGCTCGTAGAAGGTGCCACGTTTTGGTATATATTGAGGATTGCTGCGATCCTCATCAACTTTCTTCTGTGCCTCGCTGTCGGCTCCGCTGCGATCGAGCCCGTTACCGCTAACGGTACCGCTACCAAGCTCATCGTCATCCTCCTCGGTTTCGTCGTCGTCGGTTTCCGTCTCCTCCTCGCTATCGCTCTCATCGTCGTCGTAATCACCCTCTAAATCACTAGCGGTGTCGTACTCAGAGTCATGGGGATGCGAATTGCTTGAGGGCTCCTGTGCGGGCGAGGTGCCCAGATCGGCCGCGCTACCGCTCGCTATTCCCGTGTCGTTGGCATTTATAGATGAAACAGGTATATCAGTCGCTGGTGCGGCTGTCAATTTTTCAACATCAGCCATCGCTAGGGGATTCTTCGATTTTTTTTTCTTTTCTTTTCCCTTGACTTTTTTTGCACTTACTGCAAGTGTTTAGTCCCGTTATTCGTGGTTAGCGCCTCCTTGCACACAGCCACTAACACTTGTAATTCACAGGAGTTTCCTACTTATTTCTATGTTCTTAGTTCCAAAATCTTGATTTAATGTTAATATATTTTCAGAAATTTCTTCTTTTCACCCAGTTTTCTTCCACAACAACGCAATCAGAAAATAGAAAGTGTCTAGAGTTGACATGCTTTCTACATATATGGTAGAGTTGTCAGCTGGGCGGCGATTTGTTATCAGTCACAATAGTTAAAGGAATCCCAACATTATAAGAGGCGCCGGTAACATGACGCTTAACAGAGATGCCGCATATTTGAGCTCAATCACAGCATTTGACATATTTTTATCTACTTATTATAAGAATTAAAGTCTATTTATATTCTTGTTGCTCAAGTTTATCTATATTAGTCATGCAAAAATAGCACATAATTCAAAATGTAAAAGATGACGAATCATATTGCTTCTATTGTAAGCAGACTTGCTCCTCAACTTTTAGAGCTGCTCCACATATAACAGGAATGTCCTACTATTAGTAGCAGCGCGTCAGACAACGCAATTACTCACCAATTGCCTACAAATTTCACAACACTGGCCGCAGCTGTTGATGAGATAGGAGGCAGCACACAATAAAGGAAAAACAAGTCTCTGTCTGCAAATTAAATTTAAATAGTATTTCTTGAAAACATAGCGCATTGCTGCAAATCACATTGAAAATGTCCAAACTACTGGGAGTGCCACTGAAGAAGCCATCAGAGGTGGACATAATAAAGCCACTGAACAATCTAATACAAAGCACCTACAATGGAGCCAGTGCCGAAGAGAAGGCGCAGTATGCGGAGGCAGTAAATGAGTTTTCAAAGCAACGCAATACGGCGATTTGGAAGTTTTTCGAAAAGTATGAGACATCGCTGGAAATCGTCTATGCGTAAGTGGAATTTACTTTCTTCAATAGCATTTCGTGATAGCCGTAAGTAGGTTCTCTATGCTGTGTGCAGTGACTCATAGCGGTTGATAGCACTAAAGTAGCTGTAATTAATCAGTTGCAAGTGTGTGTGTGTGTGTGTGTGTGTGTGTGTGTGAGAGAGACAGACAGAGAAAGAGAGCCAGAGCCAGAGCCAGACGTAAACACAAGCATAAGCGAATGACGTCGTCTAATAAAACGCCGTTGGCGTTTGGTTTCACTTTTATTTACTTTTCAGCTACTACGACCAAATAACCGCACTGGAGACAAAGATATCTGCCAGTGAGCTGCAGATACCCTTCAAGTGGAAGGATGCATTCGACAAAGGCTCCATTTTCGGTGGCAAGATTAGTCTGAGTAAGTACTGACTCTGCTATGATGCAATAGGCTTGAACCGGTTTGAACACGTTGCTCTTCATCGTTCAGCTCACACCTCGCTGCTGTACGAGAAGGTGTGCGTACTCTTCAACATTGCCGCCTTGCAGAGCAGTGTGGCTGCCAGCCAGGACCTGGACACGGACGAAGGCCTCAAGCTGGCCATAAAACTGTTGCAGCAGAGCGCGGGCATTTTCCAGTACCTGAAGAGCGCCACACCCGCAGCTGTGCCCTCGGAGCCGACGCCAGATTTGAGTCAGGATGCGCTGAATGTGCTGCAGGCCCTGATGGTGGCACAGGCCCAAGAAGTCTTCATACTGAAGGCCATTAAAGGTAAAGCTCTCCATAAGAAATGCAAGATCTTTGCATACTAAGCTCAGTTCCATTTACGCAGACAATATGAAGGATCAGATCATAGCTAAACTGTGCTGTCAGGGCGAGGAGTTCTATGCGGATGTGCTGCGCGCCATGCAAAAGGAGTCGGTGCGCCGTCTCTGGGAGAAAGAGTGGATACCCACAGTCGCTGGAAAGCAGGCGGGCTTCCATGCGCTAACGCAGCTTTACCAGAGTCTCGTCTGTCGGTCGGCCAAGCGGATTGGGGAGGAAATCGCCCGTCTGCGCAATGCCGTCGACCTGTTCAAGGCCGCGCAATCTCGTGGCGGCAACGAGACCTATCTGGATGAGTACTTCAGTCGCGCCAAGCGCAATCTGGCCGAGTCCACCAAGGACAACGAGTTCATTTATAATGAGATGATACCGGAGCTGAGCACATTGGCCTCGCCCGGCAAGGCACAGCTGGCCAAGCCGCTGCCTCTGGCCACGCCTATGGCCTCGAACTTTAAGGACATCTTCAGCGCCCTGGTGCCCGTGGAGCTGCACCGTGCGCTGACCGCATCTGATATGCGCAAGAATGAGATTGTCAACACCGAAATCATGAAGCTGCGCGAGGCAACCCAAACCCTGAACGCGGTGCTGGCCAGCCTCAATCTTCCTGCTGCCGTGGAGACGACTGATAGCAACAGCGGCTTGCCGCCATCGTTGCGCGAGAAGGCGAACGAGGTGCGTGAGAAGGGCGGCATTGAGCACTTGAAGACAATGCTGAAGGATTTGCCGGAGCTGCTTAATCGCAATCGCGAGATCTTGGATGAGACGGAACGGCTGCTGGATGAGGAGCGCGACTCGGACAATCAACTGCGCGCACAGTTCAAGGAGCGCTGGACACGCATCAGCTCTGACAAGCTCACCGAAATGTTCCGCACCAATTCCAAGAAGTACCGCGAGGTCATCACCAATGCCATCGAGGCCGACAAGGTGGTGCGCCAGAAGTTCGAGGCCAACCAGAAGGGCATTGAGCTGCTCTCGATGCCGCCGGAGCAAATACAGCAATCGCTGCCATCCGCCAGCGGCAGCGTGGATCCCAACTGCTCCAGTGTGCAGCGCCTCAAGCAGCTGATGGAGGCCGTTGAGACGATCAAGGCGGAGCGCGATGCTGTTGAGTTGGAGCTGAAGTCGGCCACATTCAACATGAAGGACGAGTTTCTGCGTGCCCTGCAGAAAGATGGCGCCATCGATGAGCCAGCCCTGTCGCTGTCCCGCATTGGCCAGGTGCTCAGCCCACTGCAGGCCCAGGTCAAGGAGAGCGTGGAGCGTCAGGCAACGCTGGTCGCTGACATACAGAGCGCCCACGGCGCCTTCGTGGCCGAGACGGGCAACTGCGGCAGCTCTCGCGACAAACTGTACCAGGAGCTGGCCACCGCCTACGACAGCTACATCGAGCTGTCTGGCAATCTGCAGGAGGGCACCAAGTTCTATAATGACCTCACCCAGCTGTTGGTTGTGTTCCAGAATAAGATCAGTGACTTTGTGTTTGCGCGCAAGACCGAGAAGGAGGAGCTGCTCAAGGATCTGACCACCGAGTCCAGTCGCCAGGCACCGCCGGCCACTCCGGCTCTGCCATCACATTATGCCTCTACGTCGGGCAGCGGCAGCGGTAAGTGGATCAGATAACCTAATTCTATGTGCATTATAAGCTTATTCCTCTGTCTTCCTTAGATATTCCAAATGCCCCAGCAACAGCTGCTGCACCTGCATCGAACGTTCCGTATCCGGCCCAGGTGCACATGCCGCTGCCCTATGGCGCCTCGGCTAACGTGCCGTATCCCACATATGTACCACCGCCCATGCCGCAGAGCTTCAATCCCTATGCCACGTTGCCATATCCAGGCGGTGCGTATGATTGATTAAGTTGAAATGAAAAGATTTTCGAATGTATATTTTCTATTTATAGCACCCTATCAGTATGGAGGCTTCCCGCAGGGACCACAACCCGGCAACTATGGCACATATCCCGGCAGTTATGCTCATCAACAGGGCGGCTATCCCAATCAGAAGCCTCCCGGCTGGTAAACTGAGGAATCGCATACAATTATCTCGCACTGTGTTTAGCCAGCGGTTCTATTGCATATTATGTTATTCATGAATTTAGAATCTATCTATTGTATGGCATTTAATGCTCCTCCTTTCCACTATCCCCTCCCATTTGGTTCTGCTTCAAATTGTGTTATAGAACAAATATGAATGCTTATTGGATTTTTAATCTCATATAATCAAGTATCACAATAAACGTTCCGTCTTAGCTCTGTAATCTATTGCATATTATTTTATTCATTAGTTCAGATTAGTGGGCTAGAGCTATGATCCATTCATTTGCTTCATGCGGCGGAAGAACTCTTGCTTGATGGACGCAATGCAGCGAGGCGCACACATGCTATTGATCAGCTGCTCCAATGTGGAGCTTATTATCGCATCCTTCTCTCGCCCCGGCCTGTCTTGCGTATGTCGTTTGGCATTGTCTGTGATCAGCTGGGTATAGGCCTCCTTGGGCATCACGTCCAGGGCGCGAACGCGCACTCTGACGCTGCGCAGCAGCTCCAGTACCTCGCTCTCAGTCAAGTAGTCGGTATCCCATAGTTTGCGCTTGTTGTCCAGGCTCGGCTTCAGGACTGCGTGCTCGAATTGGCTAAAGAGCGAGCTGGTGGATTCGGCTATCTCGCCCAGCTGATTGGGATTCAATAGATACTGTTTCAATTGATAGCTTTCGCCTTTCACAAAGCTCTCGACCACATGCTTGACCAGGAGCTCATCAAATGTCAGGTCCAGGTCAGACTTGAGCGGCACCCAATAGTTGACACTCAATGAAGTGGACACCGCCTCCACGTAGTGCCACCACTGACGGGGCACAATCAGCACGTCTCCCGGTTGTAGCAGGCAGTGGTAAGCGTGCTCCTGGAACTGTTCGTAATACTGCAGCTTATCCGGCGCGGGCGCATAGAAGTTCTCCAGGCAGTAAACACTGGACTCCTCGTAGGGGATTCGCGTGCTTTGCAGTGGCGTCTCGGGCGGAAAGAGTAACCACGATTTGCTGCCATAGGCCTGCACCACAATGTTCACGCCGTACGTGTCATAGTGGCACGGCGTATTGGCCCCTTTTGAGCCCAGCCACAGGCTGTAATCATTCTGGTGCTCCGCAAATCCGAAGCACTTGAAATCAATGCCGCTCAAGCAGCTGGGAGGCATGTCATGTGCACGTACATATTGATAGGCAGCCCATTCTTTGGGCTGTTTGTCGGCAGTCATTGTGAAATTATGCAGAAACTTCTGCATTGACATCTTGACATGTTTTCTCTTGCGCTCCCATTGCGGCGTCTCGCAGTCGGTGATGTCCATGCTCTCGAATGCCGGCAGAGAGCCGACACTGGCATCCTGGTCATAGCGCGTGCACCAGTGCTGCAACGAGTCGTCAAAGCACTCCCAGTTGATGGGAAAATCGGGTAATACTAGAGGTACATGAGTGTTGAGGATTATGTCGCGTAATTGAGAGCTCAAGTCTGTGGCCATATAGTAAAGTTTATTGTCGAATGTAAATGGCAACGGCGATAAGTATCGATAGCTGCTTATCGACAGCGGCAGTGGCAGCTCTGTTAAGCTGTGAAGCGCCATCTGTTGCCAAATAGATTGCGCCACACTGTCGGTAATATTTGAATTCAAATTTCCTTTTAAGCTTCTACATTTCGCGGGTAATAAAATAATGCAATCAAGGCAAATGTCGCAAACTACTTGTCAATTTTGAGTAGATTATCTTATGATCGGTTAACCGACAGCTACACACTTATAAGTATGCTACACAACCAATTAATAAGCAATCGCGTAACTTATGTAAATACAATTAAGTGAAATGTTATATTAATTAGTGCACATTTCGGTATTACATAATTGCCATCAAGATTGCGTGTAAAACGAGTTCTGGCAAATCAAGTTGTAGTCTCCAATGCCTCCTCGCACGCAAACCAAGCGACGCCCGTTACTGATTGCTTTTGCTGCTGCTGTCGCTGCTGCGGCAGCGTCTGCGGCTGCGGCCGCATATCGTGGTCATGGTTCTTAGGACTTGGTTGGTCTAAGCAACACTTTGAGATAATTATTTTGATATGACAGGCGGAAATGGAATGGCGTTAACAAGTTGCTGCGCTGATATCAAGAAGCTTAACTTGTTGTTTGGAGATTGGTTTTTCTTAGCTTCGCTTGATGCCCCATGCCACATTTATCCCAATGATTGTTATCTGACTGCAATGTGGCATCTGTGATTGCCACATCTAACTGTTGTCAACGCCACTGAAGTTCTGCAATTTGCATTCTGGAATGCCATTAGGCAGATGAATCAATGTAGCCGAACTATCCACTGTATTAAGCTGCCGGCCGAACGACCGAACGACCGACCGACCGGGCGGCAACAGTCGTCATAAATGTGATTTATGTCTCACATTTTCATTCTCTTTCAGTTTTTTGCGCACAAAAGAACAAGTCATTAAATCTACTTAAGATGGGCACGCAATGCGCCAGCCGCAAATACAGACACAGATACAGAGACACGGGTGAAAAGTTCAATGTACGTGAGTCAGCAGCGATGGAAAAGCATAAGCATAAGCGGAGCCAGGCCAGGCCAAGCCAGGCCAAGTCGGAGCAGGCCAAGCCAAGCCATGAAAACAATTATGCGGCAAAGTCGCCAGCAACAACAAGAAGAGAAATCCCAAGCATGCAGATCAGCTGTTACTGACTATCTAATGCTCTGTCATAGATAATCTCTAAGATACTCTGCTGTAGTTATAGAGCTGCTTTGCTAAAGATATCATAATTTATTATTGAGTGGAGTTTTTATGGGTTGATCGAGCTCTTAGGGTATGATTTTGTTTATATATTTTTTTAATATGAAGAAGCACACGTCTCACATTCACCGTAACGAGCTTAGTCATTCAACATTGGCATGTCTGTCAGTCCGCCCGTCAGCCTGTCTGTTCATTCAATACTTCCTCCGTCTGGTTGTCTCTCCATCCGTTGACCTAGCCTATATCAAGTATATATGTTTCATGTACTATTCAATTTGCCGAAGATACCCAATATACCCGCTTAGCTCAGCCGAAGACAGTGCATAATGAGCTGCGAATCAAGCCGATTATTTATGCGCCACTTTCGGAGGTGCGGCTATCCCGACTTTTTGTCGTCTGCGATTCATTTTGATTGTTATTATTATTATTATTGTTACTTATTGCTTCGTACGCACTTCCAAAGACATACAGCTATTTATTTATATATGTATGTGTCTGTCTATCTGTACGTGTGTGTGTAGCTTGAGCTTTTTATCTGCCAAATGAGATATTGTGCATGCCTCGCTTCCGTTTCCAGGCGAGTGCGCATATCAAGCTCAGGGCTTAGCCGTAGCACTCCCAGGCTTACAAGCTCCAACCCAAACTCAATTGCGATCTCAATTTTCAGTTCCACTTCTCGTATAATTAGCAAAACAAAAAATTTCTAACAAAATTGCGCACGTTCCGCTGTTTGAGCAGCTGCGCGGAGACTGCCAAAATAAAAGAATACAATAAATGATATTCAAGCTTCAAGCTCGCAGTCGCCATTTTTGGCATTGTATGTAGTACTTTAGTTCTATCCTACAAATATATATGCATCTTTCCTTAGCTATACTTGTAACCACATCTTCTGCATCAGGAGCTCCATCTATGTCTGTATCTATATCTATATCTAGATATCAAATTGTGTTTGTATCTGTATCTGTATCTGTATCTGTATCTGTATCTGCATCTGTATCTGTATCTGTATCTGTATCTGCATCTGTATCTGTATCTGTATCTGTATCTGTATCTGTATCTGTATCTGTATCTGTACCTGTATCTGTATCTGTATATGTATCTGTATCTGTATCTGTATCTGTATCTGTATCTGTATCTGTATCTGTATCTGTATCTGTATCTGTATCTGTATCTGTATCTGTATCTGTATCTGTATCTGTATCTTTATCTGTATATGTCTCTGCATCTGTATCTGCATCTGTATCTCTATCTGTATATATATATATATCTGTATCTAAACCTGTATCTTCATGGCTTTCTTCAGCTGCTCTCACTCAATTGGATCACGTTTGACCTTCTCTATGGATAGATTATGCGTGCAGTGGGTCATAGCTATAAATGAATTGAGTTGCTGTTGCGAATAGGTTTTTGTTTTAAATCAGTCATATTTATTTGTTTAAACAAATTCGTGCATGCACTTAAGTATACCAGAAGCTGATTAATTGTTAATAAATAAATTCCAGTTTAGTCTGATTGTTTAGTCACAGTTGCAAACCATTTTCAATTTGCTTACGATTTGAAGAAGTTGGACGGAAAGGCTTGAAAAGAAATGCAGTCCACAAGTGACTGGAATATATAGTCACATTGTATATATTTAAGAAAATATAGACTTATATATTGAGTTTCATACGCGTGGTACACAAATTAAAAAATAAAACACTATAATTAGCGAATGCCCACACCACAGTCTTATAGATGCATGCCGAGCTTAATTGGCATTAGATAGCTGAAAAACTGAAAGTAAAATTCTTATGATATGATATTTTGATAGAACTGCGGCTTCGTCTGATGCTCCTTGATCACATAGAGGCCCTTGGGTTTGCCGTTGCCGGCAAAGTACTTGTGGAAACTCTGCTTGTTGACCACCTGCGAGGGGGCGTAATATGTGGGCGACTTCTGCTTGAGTGATTTCCTGTACTTGGCCTTGCCGCTGCCCGCTGTAAAGGACTTCTCGATGGTATCATTCTCCCAGGGTTTGCGCCATGTCGGTATCTTCTCGATGTCCAGCAGACGATTACGATCCGCCGCAGATACGTGAGCAAAATGCGGATTCTTTTGCAGTGCCTGCTTCAGCACTGGCAGATTCCAATGGTAGATACGAGCCGGTCGTCCATTCGAACTGAACGGAAATGAGACCTGCAATGTGCCATGGGTATTGATTAGATGCGTATAAGCATAGAAGATTTGTAATGCTAACAGTAGTAGCTACAGTAACAGTAACATGCAGTCAACAGTATGCTTAACAGAAACATTACTGTAAGGAGCTGTAAGCAATGTAACATTAACATTAGCCCTCGATCAAGATTACGATTATTCTTATATGCATTTTGGATAAGCTATGTCATGTATATTGTATATATGTATATATTGATATGCTGCAGTCATATGTGTGTACATGCATATTAGAATTACATTTCAATTAACATTATCAGTAACTGTAACTGTTGCCTTAACATTAGCCATATCTGTTGCTGGCTTTTGGCCAAACGCCATAAATTAGTCAACGAGTGTCTCCTAACAAATTGCATTTTTAATTGAGGTTGGTTAATGGCCCATGGCTTGCATATTTATTTAAAGCTGGAGCCGTGAGAGCGTAATAATTTTATGCCTGCCGCATGCAACAACATTGACATTGACACAGCAGCAACAGCAACAGCAACAGCAACAGCAACAGCAACAGCAACTACAGCAGCAGCAACAGCAACAGCAACAACAACTGCAACTGCAACTGCAACTGAATTCGCAATGGCATTTTCCATGGGTATATAAATAGCTGAGACTGTGGAGTAGCTGTCACTGCCTTTGCCACTGCCACAATAATGTCTGGAAGCTGTGCCCGAAGTTGGTAACTCGGTCGCCAGTTGGACGTGCATGTGTGCATGGCTATTTATACCCTGCAGCTATATACAAAATTGGCATATTGATTGGCAGGTGATAAGATTGCATTTGCTGGAAACTTCTAAATAGCAATTCTAAATTCTAATTCTAAATACCGATAGTATCAAAATTCAAATTTGTTTTCACAAAGCTATCGATCGTTTCATTTCAATCGATAACTTTGTGTTGTCCTAATTGAAATGTGTTTATATAATCGGCTATCTCTGCTGATTGCTGGGTATCTCCTTATCGAGCAGCCTTGACTCGAGCACTCTTACTTATTTGTTGTCTATATGGGTGAGCCATGACTGCAGCAGTCGACGAAATGCAATGGCCCACATGGGTAATCCATTTTCAGCTCGGCCTCTGTCTGGGTGTGTGTGTGTGTCTGTGTGTTTGCTTTTTGCAATTTGTTTTGTGCGCATGCGCGCCAGCGATGTTTATCAACGGTTGGCCAGACCAAACCCGACCAGGCCAGGCCCCAAGAAGCGATATTAGAGCCAGTTCTTTACAGTGTAGTTGTTGTTGTTTTTTTGGCGTAACCTAATGGAATCCCGTTTACCTTTTTCCCGTTAGTTTTCAACGCCGACGCCTCACTGGCCGCTGCTGGCATGTTGGGTGCGTTGTCATGGATGTTGTTGCTCATTTGATGAGACTTCTCTTGCTGCTGCTGCTGTTGTGGCTTCTTCTGTTCCGGCTGCTGTTGCCCCTTGACAGCATCCAGCGTATTCTGCACGCTGTTGGGTCCTGAATAGTAGTGCAGATTTGGCGGCAATTTGATGATGAACATGTGTGAATCATCCCGCGACGAGTGACGGCGTGACTCAACAGCCAAGCGCTTCCGGTTATGGCTATTCGGCGCCTTCACCTTCACAAAGCCCAGTTTGCTGCAAGTGCGACAGGCAGACAGGAAAAATCGGCAAATGATTAAATTCTGATTTGAATATTTGTTAAAAGAGATTAACAAGCTTTAATAAATACTGTTATTAACAATTTGACAATTAATGATACGTGTCTTTACCAAAAGCTTTTTTAGAAACTGCTAGAGTTGCCGGACTGTGGACTGTTATGCACGCGAATTAATTTGTCGAAAAATGCATAAAGTGTTGCCAGATTAAAAGAATGCAGAATGAAATAAGAACTTTTTAGTCGCATTATATTTAAATTTCAGTACAAGTGCTGCACACAGTGAAATCGAGTTTATATATAGAGATATTCAGAAAAAGGGGGCTTGCTCTGTCTGTCTGCCTATCTGTCTGTCCAGTAAGCCCTAAACGTTTACCACGAATATATCATAATATAATTTATGATCGCACAGACATGCCAGCTAAGCACAGACGTGCGCAACAGTTGTTGTTGTTGTTCTTGTTCTTTGGCACTAGACACGTTGCATTAATTAAGCCCAAAATGAGCCTGAGTGCTCCCCTCAAGCCTCCGCTCGTTACTCACCTGAGCAGCTTCTTGTTGAGTGCATGTGTACGCCTTTTCAGTTGCTTTTGTTGCTGGGCTGGAACAACATCGCTCTGGCTGCCCCGCAGCTGCAACTGTTGCGGCAGCTGTTGCTGCTGCTTCTGCGGCTGTTGGTATTTGTCCTGTCTTTTGATTTTATATATATGCGTGGCATCCTTGGCAATCACCGGAGAGGACTTGCTCCCGCTACCGTTGCTGCTGCCGCTGCTGCTGTTCGCCTGTGCTGCAGCAGCCAAGCAAACGAAGCAACATAAACTGCAAAATAAAAACTCATTTTATGGCCTGTGTTTTTATTTGCTGGTATTTTTGGATTTTATGTGCGAAATTCTATAAGGGATTAAGCGTGGTGCACTCCACATATCTCTGGGGTTCAGGGTCAATCAAGCGTCAGTGCCTGCCACATTCGATGGGCCGTTGTAATCCAAGTCAAGAGCCAAGTGAATGCATTTTGAGCTGAATTTAAGAAGCGGCCAGCCTTTTGAAATACTAAACCCAGCGAACCAACGAACGAACGGGCGAGCCAGCAACCGACTGACAATTGGCCAAAGGGTGCAAGCTAGAGGTGTGTGCGTGTCACGAAACTGAGGCCAGAAATCTTATTCCAATATCTATGAAGTTACTTTACTTATTGAACATACTGAGCTTTAACTTTATTTGATAGCTTTATATTATAAATGTCAAATGTAATTTATTAAAAAAAGATTCGAGCTCTACATTTTCGTGATCTTTTATTACTCACACGACACGCGCTCCGCTCTAGTGCATGCAACAAAGTTCTAATGCTCTTGTTGTTGTTGCCCACCAATAATAAGGAAGAAAGCGCAAAGAAAAGCGTCTAAAAATGCAAATGAGCACGTACAAACACACACACACACACACAGGCTAGTCAATTACAATGTAATATATGTGTGTAAAATGAATAGTTGAGAAAACGGGCATAGACGAAAGTCACATGCGCTACGGTTCAGTGGAGGGGTGTGAGAGAATTTCACTTGCAAGCAGCAGCAGCAACAACAACTCCAACAGCGGAACATTCATAAGAGCTGCCAATAAAGTAAAAAACGGGGAGAGGAGGAGCGGATGAGCGAGAGAGAACTGCCAATATTACGGTCTGGCAGAATGCTCCAGAAAATCATTAGGCTGTGCCAATATCGATGTCTTCACAGCGTCAAAAGTTATTGACCGACTAAGCAGTTGGCCATTTTACAGGGCCAAGCAGCAAATTATACTGGACACATATACATATACATACATTCGTACATATACACATACATACATTTATGTATGTGGGCATATATTGACGAAGCTTTATGCATCAAATGTAACCGAAGGCGACCACAGCGTAGCGACGTGCCTGGCATTTGGCAGTGGGTCCCAAGACAAGACTTAGCCTCAAGATACACACACACACAATGCATGCAGCGTTCTATGCGCAAAGAAAAAATTTTAAATAAAAAGCTGAGTACGATAGCAGTGCTGAAGCTTAAATACTCTTACAAAAATTTTTGTAAAAAGAAACGTTACAATTTGAAACAACGTTGAGCCCTGGAGCTGCCAGACAGCTACAAAATTTGAAATAAATTAGTGTACAATATACATATGTACATACATATCTCTAACGTTGCAGGAATTTGCGAAGAGATCGGCTAGATAAATGACATAAATTTAAATGCAAGTAAACGGAGCTGCCAGACTGCCAAATCCAAAAATCGATATAAAAGGATCAAATTCAAATTCGTATAATCGATTGGCAGCCTTATTTAAAGACGGTTAAATGGAGCTGCCACACTGTGGAGATAGATCATCAGACAGTAATCAACTTAGATTGAGATTGACAATTTCATATGAAATCCAAAGATATTAAAAGGCTTGCTAGATATTGCAACTCAACAAGGGGAAATGATAAAAAGTTTTCAGGTTTATTACCAACTAAGTCACTTAGCTATGATACTCTTAGGCAAGCGTATACAAGTAGTTTTGAGCGAAGCTGGCATAAATTGTGAGTCAAGACTTAAAAACCAATGCGCCCCCCAGGCGGGATTAGAGGCTGCCGCCACTGATTGATGCTTGGGCAGGGGCAAGTCGTTGACTCTGCAGACCTGGCCCGGGCATATGGCACGACAATGCGCTTCCTTCAATTGCAGTGCCAGCAGCAGTCAAATCAAATTGTATCCCAATCGACACGTATTTAGCACTGACCACCAATAGCCAACCCAACCAAGGGCAGTTTGGCTCGTTTGGTGGATTGAGTCGGGGTCCACTTGATAAATTGAAAAATAATCGAATGCAGCTCCCTTTTTGCTGTTGTGCGCAGACAACAGATGTGGCATATGTGAATTATTAATGCAACCAGCCACAGCCACAAAGAAGTCCCCGCGGCCAAAACACAAAAAAAAAGGAAGACAAACCACAACAACAGCTACCAAAAAAAAAAAAAAAAAAAAAACATAAACCAACAGAAAACAACGAACAACACAAAGTTTGCGTGTTCGAAAAGACAAATTCGCAAAGGGCTGCGTGTCAAAATTGAACAGATTTGTGGCCAGACGCAGACACAGCTCAGTCGATTGGCCTTTTAATTTAACACACAGTAAAAAGTGACTAATAAATATGGTTAAATGTGAAACGACGAAGCCTAGATACTCTAGCATATCAGATCTCTAAGATCAGAATAGATTGTTACACCGTTGCTAACTATAATTCGACAAAACTATATATCGTATATATACTCAACAAAAAATCATTATAGTTTTATGTTCAAATTGTAAAGTTTTTGAAGACCGAGAACTGTGCTAGCTTTTACTTAATTGTCGAAATCGTTAATACTTTTATTACTTCAGCTTGGTTATGTTTAAGGTAAATTTAAAGAACTTGTTGCAGTTGTCCCTGTCGACAGAGGGTCCAATGCTGCGACACAAGCGCATCAAGTGTGGCAAAGAGAGGTAAGATTGAAGAGGGATTAACTTAGTGATAACTGCTCTATTGATGATACTTTTTAGCTATATGCTCTGTTATGTGCTGCAGGATGGTTACCTGAAGATACGGCAGGCGAAGAGCATGCGAAGAGGTCGGCGCTCCAAGGGTCTACTGCGGCAGTCTAGCAAAAAGGCGAGTACGAAGCGCGTCTGTGATGCTAACAGTCAGACGACCATTGGCTCAATGGAGGAGCTGATGACAAGGGACACATATATTCAGACAACTGTGGTACAGTACTCGCATTGCTCTGTGGATACGTTGGATCTTAGTCTCATGGTATCCAGGCAACAGCAGACGACTATACGAGTCTTCAACTTCGCCAGTTGCCAAACGAAGAAGCTCAAAATGGAGATGCGTTCCACACAGGTGGAGCTGAAGCTGAAGTCCAGGTTGACACAGACACTAGTGATGCCTATTGCGAGGAGCATCGCAGGTACTCAGACGACGCTCGGAACGGGCCGACAAGCAAGCTATGCGCAGACGGACATCTCCAGCCTGTCGGCAGAGGAGGAGCAGGAGCAGGAGGAGCTAAAGGAGCGTATAGTTAATTTGCTATTGCGATCTATGAACAGTCAGAGTAATCTGTTGCTTAAAAGCGTCGAGTCCCTCAATCAGCTGCTAGAGTTCAAGCAGTTGGAGTTGCAGAAGCAAAAACTGGAGAAGGAACGGGAGGCAGCCAAGCAGGCGGAGCTGGTCAAGCTGAAGCAGAGACATCCGAAAAAGTAAGACAATTTCATGCACTCAAACCCAATTCACTTACTCGCCTTCACAGAGCTAGCAAACGGTTACATTGCCCCAAGTTCAGGATCTGGGCCAAGCCAGCATCCAAGCCCAATACGCTGACACAGAAGCAGGCACACGTCCAAACACAGCGACTAAGCATAATGTAGGTAACACTGATAATACCCAATAAATCATGTATATATTTATATATATGTATATGCAGATCCAGCGGCACGCAAACGGAGCTCTTGAGGGAGATGCCATTGGTTCGCTTGGCTGAGGCAGCCACGCAAACTGACCGCGTGAAAGGACTCTCTTGGCTGCGCTTAAGCAGCTGAAGCTGTCTGTATATAAATAGGCCTATACATACATATTTACTTACCATATCCAGCGCCAGTTGTTAGCAGACTTTATTGTTGTTATTTTTGTTGTGATTGTTTTTGCTCGCGTTGCACTCATTGTGATTAACATAAAAATGTTGTTGTTGTACTTGAAGTTCAATGCTTAGAAGCGCATCGCTTGATGGCGCCAAAGTTGCGCGTTATGTTAATTTAACAGTGCACTGTTAATCGGGCTTTACAGTTTTACAGTTGTTTACTTTGATGCAGTTATGCACTTATGTTTTCCGCAGATACGTCCGCTCGCGACAATAGCTTGTCAAAGACTGAATGGCCAGCGAGCAAGTGGCCAACGTTTTGGCTTCGGCTTTTGGGTTTGGGGCTTCGGTTGCTTCGGTTACTTCGGCTCTTTTGTTTGTTCGCTTTTTGTTGCTGCTGCTGCTGTTGCTGCTGTCGGTATGCAAAAAGCCAACAAACAACAATAAGAAAGTCACGCTTAACGACTGTGACTGAGACTTAGTCCCAGGGTCTAGGCTGGACAGTGAAAAACAAACAACAACAAGATAGAGAAACAAAATAAAGCACATGCAAGTGCGCTGCGGCGTTGAGCGCAGGAGAGCCGGCTGCAGTTGCGGGAGTTTGGCTGGCATAGACAAAAGAATAAAGCATGGCTGCCGAAAGGCGTCTGTTTTTGGAACGGGCGGGCGTGGTGTGAACGTGGGACAAACTCTCTGGACAGCAGCCTAGCAGCCGGAGATTGAGTCCTGCTGCTACTGCTACTCATGCCATGCCACTCACTCGCTTGGTCGCTGATTGATTGTTATCTCGCACAAACACGCCCTCTATCCGAAAAAAAAAAAACAAAAACACCACAAGCACAGTTAGCTGCGGGTCGCGTGGCGAATATGAAATACTCTTATAAATATCTGTATACGAGTGTAGTCTATTGTAGAACTAACATAAGTCAATTCTTTTTCTTTTTTAAACATGTATTATTTTGAATTGGTTACTTTAGTTTTCTATACTAAGTCAAAGTCAGCAAGTTTTTGTCCCTTTTCTCTGAGTACAAAGTTTCACAGCTGTCTACCTCGTGACAAATTTATAATACCCTTTCTATAAAAATAAGAGAAGGGTTGCACTTTAATTGAGATTTATTTATGGCCTCGCCAAAAGTAAAGCCCCCCAGTGGAAGACAAAGGCACAGAGCGCTTCATAATAATGAGCCAAACACGCGCTGAGGTTCACTCGACCTGGCAATATTTGGACAACGGGCTAAACAATTGAAAAGTGCAATTGTTATATACCCTGTATACCCTTTGAATGGATGTCGATTATATATTGTTTATATGGGGATAAAAACCACAATAAAATGTTTAAACATTACAAGTGTATATTATAATTAATAATTAAACACAATTTTCGCATTCCAAAATTCATTACAGTTATAACAAAAAAATATGAATATATAGATTTATCTAATGATTCTATGAATTTATATGACCTATATAAATTATTATATGTTTATCGTTTCTATCTATAAAAATTTGGATATGTAGACATAGCTGTAGGAGCTCCTACAAAATTAAATAAATTAAAAATTGATTCTATTTTAGAAATATGTATCCGAAATGCCCCTCCAGCCTATAGCAAACCATAATTATATTCTTACGTACACCAGATAAAAGATATAGGTAAACAATCTTGAAATGGACAACTGAAATATAACCTGTACACATTCAAACGCACTCAGCTCAGCTGGAGTGCTGGGTATTCTCTAGTCGTGCAGCGCTCTTGCCTCAGTGTGTGAGGCTGCTTGTTATGTGGTTGTTGCTATTATTATTGTTCTGTGGTGGCAAGCTTTTCAACTTCAGGTTTGGTTTGAAAATTGGGCGGGCAGTTCGCCCAGCTCGTTATTGTCAAATTGTTGGCCAAGTGCTCGAGCAGCTGCATATGTATGCGCCCCTGTGTGTGTATGTGTGCATCTGTGTACGGGTGGGTGCCGCTATGAGACCGTCTCTGCCGCTGACATGCCAATTGTATGTCTGTCTGTCTGTCTGGCTCACTGTCGCTAGCCTGGAATGCGCTACAGTTGCATTCGCACAGAAATTCAATTGAATCGAATTGGAACGGGGGCTAAGGATTTAGCCTGCGACTAAGGTTAAGTGCCATGTGGTGGCCCACTCTATACTCTTGCTGCGCTCTCTGCAATTTCAACAACAACCTCAACAAATTGCTTTGGCTCGGACGCTTTTACGCTGGTTTTGCTCAATTATGCATTCGCAAAATTTCAAATGGCGAACTTCAAATCCAAGCCAAAACTTTCACTTGAACCAACAATGGCGCAGACATCGAAAAGAAAAACTAGAGTGCGAACATTTTTGTCGGGCATAAATGGCTGCCCAATATTCGTTTAATGATGGAAAAATTAAGAAATCAAATAGATATCGATATCACATTTGCTCAGCTTTAATGTAACTTCTTTGGTAAACAATTTGGTAAATTTAAATTTTGAAAAAAACTATAGATATCGATGCAATATAAAAGTAAATCTCTAGAGCATCATTACAAATTTCATATAATGATAGTCCGACTTTTACTTTGAAGACTCTATTTCAAGCAGTTCGTCAATAAGTAAACCGATATACTCCTTTCTGACTACCTTAACAGTGCATGGCGAAAAAATCGTCAAAAAATAAACAAAATGGCGTAGACAACGCACAGCCAAAACCAAACCCCGAAAAATCTAGAAGAGGAAGCAAAAAGTTTGCATGCTTCCGGTCTTGCGCCGAATGATTGAGTCGCAGAATAGACAAAAAAGAAAAAATCCCCTTCCTAGAAGCTTTAAGGAGTAGAAAAATGGAAAAGTAGAAAAGTCGCATTCGAGCATTCGAGAAAGGAAGAGGAGGAAGAAGAAGAAGAGAAAGAGAAAGAAAAGGCTATTTTATGCATTTTCGAGTGCCCAGTTGACCAAAGACGAACGTCATGCATTGTCATTAACAACTAGCTATAAATAAGACATAAAATACACAGCCAAGAATGAGTTCTAGCTATTCTGCAAGAATGCTGGACCTGAAGATGCCCTTTGGACACAGTTGTGAGTTAAAGCATGTAACTAGCTCATATAGTAGATTAAATATTTCCTAATAGATCAAAGCCAATGCTAAGAGTGCAGCTAAGCTTTGAACATGCTCTACAAAAGATACCCTGTACACACACTCACACTAGAATATGCCATTACATATAAACAGTTTGTAGAACAACAAAAGATTTATTCCACTGTGTTACGTCAATCATAGCCGATGATGCATTGTTCACAGGGTACTTAAGCCATGCACCTTTCAATGGAGTACCAAGCGTTTAGTTGCAAATTTTAACAAGAGGCTGTCAATGATTAATGTCAATAAAACGCAAACTCAGCTTGGGAATGCTAGAACCGACGTCTCTCTCGCTGCTTCATGTTGAAAGTAGGAAGCGCTGGCATTTGGTCAGCATTTGGGTCATGAACCTGTGCCACAGCTGGAATCGAGGACAGAGCACTGATCCTCAAGCGTCGTGTGGGTGCAATGGTTCAATTGGTGTCGAGAGTCAGCGAGCCTCGATAAATGGATAATGTTCGGGATGCTGTTGTTGATGATGATGATAACGATGATGATGGTGATGATGATTGGCAGTAAGGCAGAGAAAATTTGTGGGCACGCCTACACGTACCGCTCATTAGCTATGCCCCTAATGAGGCAGTTAAAAGGTGCAATGCGGGCCTTGGCATTAGCCAGCATTTGGCCATGTCAGTTGACAAATGTCTTTACTTGTCACGCGCTTAAATGTCCAGCAATGTGGCGCCTCACATACACTTGAAATAATGCCATAGCCAATAAAACATTTTTAGTAAATTATTATTTTTTATTTTCCTAAATTGAGAATAATTTTTGTTAAAAATGTTGACAAGGGAAATATAATAATAACCAAAATATTAAACTCGAACTATTGAACTATTGAACAATTAATTACAAACTGCTACCCACATTTCTTACACTGTATAACCATATATGTATGTATTGCATATGCACATTAGCTAACTGCTACGTCACTTGGGCTTTGAATGCATGCATAGCCATTGTCTAAAGTGACAGGCAATTGAGTTGAAGGAAAGTCAGACTGACGCAGCGACTATGCCTTGGCATGGCTGGAGAGAAGTGTCTGAAGTATGCGAGCGATGAGACACCAGCAAGTAGTGCATCAATTTGGCAATTGGCACAAATTCCAGGCGACTGCAATTCAGTTAACGGCTATGCGATATTTAAGCCATATTTGGCGCGATTCTGTCAAATGTTTTAAAGAATGCGGCGCAATTGAGTGACGCCTGTCAATCAAACATGGCTGCAGTTAGAGTGTTGACGTATTGTCAAATTGTGTTTGGATATGAAAGCTATGCAATTAGCTTTAAAGAAAACTCCCAGAATATGCAGTGCAACAGATCCAGAATCTGCACACATGCAAACATACACATACATATATATACATACACACATCTTTTTAACAACTTGCAGTGTTGCCATATCATGATTTTGTTTCGATAGTATCGCAGATTTCAATTTATTCGATAACACATCTTCGATGGTAAACAAACGCTAAGCAACACAGATATCGAATAAACGCAAAGTAAAGTGAAAATTTGTGTGAAAACGAAAAGTTAAAGAAATTGAAGTGAATAGAAGAGGATGGCCTCGCTGGAACCAACGCAAAATAAAACATGGGATCTGTCCCTATATGAGCTGCAGCGCAAGCCGCAAGAAATAATCACAGACAGCACAGAAATAGCCGTATCTCCGCGCAGCCTACACAGCGAATTAATGTGCCCCATTTGCTTGGACATGCTCAAGAAAACGATGACCACCAAGGAGTGCTTGCATCGATTCTGCTCGGATTGTATTGTGACCGCATTGCGATCCGGCAACAAGGAGTGCCCCACTTGCCGCAAAAAACTTGTGTCCAAGCGTTCGTTGCGCGCCGATCCCAACTTTGACTTACTCATCTCGAAAATCTATCCCAGTCGCGAGGAGTACGAAGCTTCGCAGGAGAAAATCATGGCCAAATTCAATCCGACGCAATCTCAAAAGGCGCTCGTGAACTCCATCAACGAGGGCATCAAGCTGCAGTCGCAGAATCGGCCACAACGCTTTCGCACCAACAAGGGTGGAGGCGGGGGTGGTGCCGCTGCCAACAACAATGGAGGTGGGAACGCCAGCAATTCTAATCGTGGTGTGAATGCTCACGATACGGCCTCCAATGACAGCAACAGCAATACGAACGGTAACGAGCGTGAATCCCGGGACACCAGTGGAGCGACTGGAGCTGCTGCACCCGCTGCGTCAGCCGCAGCAGCTACTACAACGCCCGTCAGCAGCAGCAGCAGCAGTAGCAGCAACGCCACTAACACCACCACCACCACCCAGGCGGGCACATCGGGCGCTAGCACCTCATCGAATCGCATGCAAGTGGATGATGCATCAAATCCTCCTTCGGTGCGCAGCACTCCTTCTCCGGTCCCGTCGAATTCGAGCAGCACGAAGCCGAAGCGTGCAATGTCGGTGATGACGTCGGAGCGTTCGGAGGAATCAGAATCGGACTCACAAATGGATTGCCGCACCGAGGGTGACTCGAATATCGATACCGAGGGAGAGGGCAACGGCGAACTGGGCATCAATGATGAAATCGAGCTAGTCTTCAAGCCCCATCCCACAGAAATGTCCCCTGATAATCAGCTGATCCGTGCACTCAAAGACAACTGCGTAAGGTACATCAAGACAACAGCGAACGCCACTGTGGACCATCTCAGCAAGTATCTAGCGATACGCCTGACCCTCGACCTGGGCGCCGATCTGCCAGAAGCCTGTCGCCTGCTCAACTTTTGCATCTACGTGGCACCGCAGCCGCAGCAGTTGGTCATCTTGAATGGCAATCAGACGCTGCATCAGGTCAACGACAAATTCTGGAAGGTAAATTCTATAATATACCGAAAGTATATACCATAAACTAATCCGAGCTTCACTTCAATTTGACAGGTGAACAAACCCATGGAAATGTATTACTCATGGAAGAAGACCTAAAGCGTTACCTTACCTAGTTAAATGCATTTTAGTTATTAAGCATTCAACATATATATATATATATATATATATATATACTCGTATATATAATATTTCAATGTATACATGTTTAGTTTTATCATCTATGTGCTTAACAAGAATATATATGTATAGAAGTACACCATCAAATTCTCGATGATGTATGTAGAAACCACAGATCAATTTTCGTTGTTCCCTGTACTTATTATTGCATATAAAACATATCCAAAATATGGTTCCATAAGTCAGAGCCTATCCCTGTACGTTGGAGGAATATTGTAGAACCGGATTAGATTTGGTTGTAAGTAATTAAAGCCAAAGCGCTTGGACAAAGATTAAAGGTTGCCCTATGATAAGAACAAGCGAATTATTCTTTGTGTATATTGGACGTTTGTAAATGTGTGAATGTACATACATACAGAGCATTGACGTAGATAAAAGTAATTGTAAGAATACATTGGTGAGGAACGCTTAAAATGTAGATAATATTTAACTATGCTATGACTGCTAACCGTCTCACGGATGCGTTGCTAATGAATGTGACTAATGTGCTTCGCTGGGCTCTAAATTGGGGCTGCGGCTGAGGCAGAGTGTGGTTGACTCAAACATTTCATTTGTTTACAATTAGTGTTATATTCATAAATGTTAAGGCATAAGGCAGCACCTGTGATTTGGCATTGATCAGCAATCAACGCCTATGCATTAGTTACGTATTCTCTGCATTTTTTTTAGTATTGCGCTTCGAAATTCCTTGAAGTCGCTGCTCGCTTCAATTTCTTTCAGACAATCGCCTTGAATGCGATTGAGACCACTTTTGATGTCAGAATCCTGGCCTCCGCGTGTGCGCCGCATCAGATCACTCTCGTGGTGATCGGCCAGGCCCAGATCCCGCAACTCTTCGATATGATCTAATGTAAATGTTCGTTGCTCCTCCTGTAAGAACTCAGCGCACTTCTCGTAGACATCCAGGTACTGTTCCGCTTCGCCTTTGTCGCCCACTCGTTGCGTCTCCAGGTAGCGTCGAAATAGTTTTGCAGCCTGTGGATCTAGCAGCGTGTGATGCATGCTATTTGTGAGCGTGTAAATGCGACGCACTTCCTCAACGCTCATCTCCGAGCAGCCGCAGAAGCACCTAATCAGCTGCACCGTTTTGCTCTACGTTTTGCGAATATTGTATTAGTATTGAACTTCTATGCGATAACGCCGTATGGAAAGTACCTTGTTTGATGACGAAGCCATGATGCGTATAAGTAATAGTAATATATATATCTATATACATATATATATATATATATATTAATCTATGTTATGCTGCTCCATCGACGTTCACCGACATATTGGCCGGCAATCTACTAAAGTATAAGGATAGCTGCTCAATCGAACCAAAACAGCATGATGAATTCATTTGTTGGCTGTTAGGTAGGGATGGTATATTACCTGTGAACTATCGATAGCAATCGTTTACCCAAATAGATACAGTGAAAAAGAAAACAATCGTACTCTATTTCTATTGGGGTAACTCAAATATTGAGAAGGCTTTTCTAAACATTTTTATAACCATACATGCATTCTCTTTGCTAGCTTACTTATAAGCTGTAATAGATCTGTATTTTTAATGCTTAGTTTTTCAAGCTGACAAAAATTGTAAATATTTTGAAGTCTTTATTTTAGATCGATTTTTATAAATTTATGGAAGCTTATGATCTATAACTTGGACTTGAGCGCCTTCATCAGTTTCTCCAATTTGAGAGCCTTTTGGAAATCTCCGCTAATCTTCAGCTTCCCTGACATATATGCTGGTGCCGCCTTCAATTTGCCCGAGAACATGTCAAAGAAATTGTTCGAGTTCATGGATAACGTTGCGTCCGGGGCACCTGGCGGGGTGCCATTACCGCAGGCACCGGAACCATTCTTCAAATCCAGAAACCAGGTGCTCTGCCTATCACCGCTGATGTTGAACTGGTATACGGCCTGCGTTTTGCCGACGATTTCAGGAGATAGCAGAGATTCAATTTTCTTAAAAAGCTGCGGTATTCTGTCGTCGCCAGTGTCAGCAGTGGCAGGCGCAGGTGCAGCTGCAGCAGACGGCTCAGGCGCTGTTGCACTGTCAGCTGGCGCCCCCTTAGCCTCCACGAAAAAGTCAATCATTAGGTTGTCTGCATTTTCACGAACACATGCATAGTCCGTCAGATCCTTGACGCCCACAGATTCGAGCACCTCATCGTCAATGAAGAACTGGCCGGTGAACTGCTTGGGTTCCCGGGAGAGTATGGCATAAGCCGCATCGGCCATAATCTCTGGCTTGCGCGACCAACTGGCGCTGTCGGGACCAGTCAGCATTTCAATGGCAGCCGTATGGATGGCCGTACGCGGCCAAAGGGCGTTCACGGCTATGCCGCGATCCTTGAACTCCGCCGCCATTCCCAGCACGCACATGGACATGCCGTACTTGGCCATCGTGTAGGCGACATGGGGGCCAAACCATTTTGCCTTCATGCTCAGCGGCGGCGAGATGTTTAAGATGTGCGCATGATTGCTCTTCTCCAGGTAGGGCAGGCACTCTTTGGACACCAGGAATGTGCCGCGCGTGTTGATGCTGTGCATCAGATCGTAGCGTTTCATTTCAGTGTCCGGTGTGTTGGTCAAGGAAATGGCGCTGGCATTGTTCACAACGATATCGATGCCACCGAATTTGGCCGCAGCTTGCTGGACGGCAGTGCGCACCTGTTGCTCATCGCGCACATCCACAACACAGGGAAAGGCACGTCCGCCAGCCTTTTCGATCTCATCGGCGGCTGTGTAAATCGTGCCCGGCAGCTTGGTATGCGGCTCGGCTGTCTTGGCAGCAACCACAATATTGGCACCATCGCGAGCCGCCTTCAGTGCGATTGCCTTGCCAATGCCCCTAGAGGCGCCGGTGATGAACAAGGTTCGTCCTGCCAATTTTCCAGTATTAATCATTGTGTGGCCTAGTTTAAACCGCTCGCTGCAAAGACTCTGATCTATATGAACTGAAAACTGTGTAAATCGCGGCCAATCAACATATGTACAAGAGAAAGTCCAAAGTGCAATAAGATCGACGAGACGTCATATTGTAGGGAGAGTAAAGAGTCAAAATGTTCGGCATAAGGCAACTTTTGAATGCGCTTTTAATGTAGAAGTATTCATATGCATAGTGTTAATTATTGCTTTATATATTGTTTCTATATTATTTTGGGCCATAAGTAACTCAACTTTTGCTATTTAATGATAGAAAATAATAAATTTACACATATATCGTATTAAAATACAGAAAATAAAATTTGCCAGCGTTGCCACTCTTCAGTTTTGTGTGAATGGCATTCTCTGAGAAAATACTACTGGCAAGAAGCAGAAAGTCATTAAATGTGTTTGTTTACAATTGAAAAGTTAGAGTAAAATAAAATAATTAAATAAGAATATATATTATTAACAAATGGCTGCTGAGCGCTCGCGTCGCCACAATGCAGGCAATAAAATAGCCAAGCTGCTTGATGAAGAGGAGGATGAATTTTACAAAACCTCCTATGGCGGCTTTCAGGATGAAGAAGACGACAAGGAATATGTGTAAGTGTATTAATGTTAAATGTTATATGTAGCTAAATATTGAAATGCATTTCGTTGTTAAAGCCAAAAAGACGAGGAGGAGGATGTTGTTGACTCAGACTTCAGCATAGACGAACAGGATGAGCCCGTATCCGATCAAGAGGAGGCGCCAGAAAAGAAACGGAAACGCGGAGGCGTCGTCACAAAAGCCTATAAAGCAAGTACCAATGTACAATAAATTTGCATATCATATTAATATCTCAACTAGGAGCCAGCAAAGCCGCTTGCCAAGAAGGAAACTAAAGCTGGCGCTACGCTGCACAAGAAACGGGGCGCTGGCGGCGTGATCAAACGTAGAGTGCGTCCGCGCTTTACGGTTCTGGACTCCGGGCGGAAGTCGATACGCACCTCCACGGCCATTAAAACACAGGCTACAAAGATACGACTAAAAGAACTAGACGATGCACGCAAGCGCAAGAAAAAGAAGGTACGCGTAGAGGACTATATGCCCACACAGGAAGAGTTGCTTGCGGAGGCAAAAGTAACAGAGGAAGAGAATATAAAATCTTTGGGTTTGTTAATAAACCAATGTTAACTGCATAGTACTTTAACTGTATTTCCAAATACCTGCAGAGAAATTCCAAAAAATGGAGCTGGAGAAGAAGAAGACACGGCCCACTAAGAGAGTTTTCGTTGGTCCAACGATACGCTATCATTCATTGACCATGCCCGTCATTCGCAATATGCCCACGCGAACAGGCCAACCGAATGAGTCGACTGGCCGCTGTGAACGCACGTTCGTAACCTTTGAAAATGATTTCAATGATAAGGCTTTCAATGCGATCTTCCGTCCGAAACGACCACCGAAGCACTCGTGCGGCATTTGTCCCATCACTCGACTGCCGGCACGATACTTCGATCCCGTCACGCAACAGCCATACTATAGCATTCAGGCCTTTAAGATATTGCGCGAAGCCTACTACATGCAGCTGGAGCAGCAAGCCAGCAGCAGCAGCAACATCAGCGAACAGACCGAGTTGGCCAAGTGGTTGGAGTGGCGTAAGTTGGTCAAGGAGAATCGCCAAAAGGCAGCTACAGCAGCCAAAATAGTCGATAGTTAGTCATCCTTAGATTGAGTTGTCTACAAAGTTTTCTTTTATAATTTTTTAAAGAATTCCCTATTAGAATTCATTGTTCGTTGCATCTCAATTGTCATAGTTATGCTCGTATCTTAAAGTCATATTCAATATATTCAAATGCTAAGAACATACTGAACAATCATGTTATAAGTGTATTGGATTCTCGCCGTTCAGCTCAAAGAGTATTCCCTGTTCTCTCTTTCCGGTTGAAAGAAATATTCAAATTTTTCAAACGGCTACCAAGTTAGTTTATTTAATCCTAATTCATCTACAAAATCATATAAAATCTGGGCACACAATGGAACAAGAACTAGTCTTAATTATGTATATGTATCTAGGAAACTTAACAATAACTTTGTTAATTAATTTGTCGACTAATTTCGTATGCATTATTTATATTAAGGCTAGCTAAGTTGAATTAGGTTACTGTATTGAGGCTGTCCCTAAAGCTCGTAGGCTCGGTCGCCGTTCTGTGATTGTTAAATGAGCGTGTCCTCGTCCTGACCTTCGAATACCATCAGCAGCGAGTGCTGCGAGGGTGAACGGCCCAGGGTCAGGCCGCCCAGCGAACCGTCCGGCGACAGTAGACCCGTCTGGAGGCTATTATTATCCCGATAACCCGATGTCGATGATGTCTGTGAGACCGAGTCCCAGGATATTTCGCCAATGGCTTTCGTCTGTTGCTCCTGTTCCTGAGAGAGTGAGGTAACCTGTCGGATATAACGACTAGATACCGTAGAAAGACAGAGAGAGGGAGAATGAGAGATATTGCTTACGATGCTGGGCGGTTCCATTGGAGTGAGGCGACTGCGCTTCAGGCGGAATGTTTTACGGCTGGCCGCCTTGGAGCGTTGCAGACGCGAACGCGTGTGATCGCCCGAGCTATCCTCTGCTGGACTTTCTGGTGATAGTGGCGTCGTCGAGGTCTCCCCCGAGGAGTGTCGAAACTCAACGGATGAGACAAATCGCAATTTGGGTGGCTGCGCCTTGAAAGGCGCCTGCTGCAGTGACTGCGAGTGCGAAAGTTGAGAGGCAATGCCCGGCGGCAGGGCTGAGCTGCCACTGGGTCCACTGCCTGTGGGTTGACCCACCAGTGTGGGCGCCGAGCCAGTAGCGCCCTCACCACTCTGGCTCTCGCTAGTTGTGGTATGTGGATCCCGACCGGTGGAGCTGCTGGACAGAGACTCACGTGGCGGATGCAGAGTTTGCTGGGAGAGCGTATCACTGGGCGTGCAAATGCCGCCAGATCCGCTGCGCGAATCGATGGGCACGGCGGATACATGCGAGTGGGTCGCCTGGCCGGTGGTGGTGCCCGTGAAAATGGATATTAGCGAGGGTCGCTGCTGTGACTTGTGGGCATCTGCGGCGCTGGTCGCTGCCGCCGCATCGCTTTTCTTCTGCTCGGAGCTCTCGCGATCTGTGGAGACTGTCGGGGAAATGAATAGAGAAAGGACTAGCTTCAGCCGACAGCAGACTTACCATAGCGCTTGTCCTCTAGCTCGTCGCGCAAGTCGCGCAGCTCGCGTGCCAGCTCCAGCAGCAGGGCGCCCTTCGACTTGAGGCCACCCTGTGGCGGAGTGCCGCGCAGTCGCTCCCTAATGATGAACTGCATGTGCCGCTCGTGGTCGCCAATGGGCGGCTGGGAGATCTGAAAGGCATTGATGTAAGTAAGACGCCCACTGATAGCAGAGCCAGCAGCTGCTTGCTTACCTTGTGTAGGATGAAGGGCAGCAGAACAATGTAGAGGGGCGTGCGATGCGTAACCACGAATTCCATGAAGCTCCATAGATCGGGCGCTGCTTCATTGCGCCGGCCCAGATCTCGCATGACGCGCACGATGCGCGGCCATTCGTTGGACAAACGATTCTCGAAGCAAATGCAGACGATGCGCAGTGCAAGGAACGCCGCCTGATATAGTGAGCCCGAGATGCGGGCAGGTCGTTTGGCATCTCGGCTGCCCGTAAATGTTAGGGAGCCCGCCCGTAGATCTCCCGTAACGCGATTGATCTGTGAGACGGCTTGGCCGGTGCGGCCGGCGGGTGGACTCATGGCATTTAGCACGGCGGTTAGCAGAAATGAGACATCGCTCATTTTCAGCTCGCCCACATCGGAGACGCCGCGTCCGGAGCAGACCTTCAAGCACAGTGGCATTATCAGATGCATTAGAAATCCTTCGGCCTTTTCCTGCGTGGCGAACTCGGCGCTGCCGCCGCAAATTTGCACAAGCGAGAAACAGTCAACGGGGCTAACCACTTGCAGGGCCACCAAACGCACCACAGTCGAGCAGAAAAAGGCCGGCGGATTCTGAGACATGAGCGCTGCACCTGCACTGGACACGCCCTCCGGTATGCCACCGCTGCCCGGCTCGTTCACGATCAGATTCTGAACGGTAGAGATGAGGGTCTTCATCTGCTGCCAGTGGAGCACATATGGATGCCGTATGATGGTCTCGTGTATGCCCTTGAGCAGTCCGGCTGCTGCCTCCCAGTCCGTATTGCGGCGTATGGATGGCTTCTTCGAGATCTTGAGGAACACCTTGTCGATGCGACGCAACACCGTGACCAGAGCATTGCGCAGCGCATCGTTCGACCATTCGGCACGAGGCAGCACCGATTGCATATACCGCTGCAGTCCACGGCAGGCCATGGACTCGGGATCGTAGGGTGAGACCTTGAGCAGGGAGTGGGCGATGTCGGCCAGGCGTATGTGACACTTGGCATCCAGCACTTCGGTGGGCTTGCTGTCGTTCGCCGGCAGCTTCTTGGCCAGCTCGTACAGCCGCGTTGTAGACTTGGTCAGGAAGTCAGCAACCACGGAGAGTAGGACATCCCTTGGACGTCGGTATTCAGTGCGTATCATCTCTGAGTCTTCGGCAGAGTCCATCATGTTCTTGGTGCGCGGATCTGTCGCATACTTCGTGTGTGACTCCTCCTCAAAGTCCATGCCGGGCGAACAGGGTGGCCCGCGACTGCAGTTGCGCTGCGACGAGCCCTTGTGCTCCGGACTGTTGCGATACGGCCCATTGTAGCTCTTGGCCAAGCCCTCGCAATTGTGCACCATGGTGCGTATGGCTACAGCCAACTGGAGTATGATATCCCGCTCCGATTTGCCCTGCAGCGGGATATAGCTGGGCGACTGGATCTGCTGCAGGTAACAGGGCAATATGGCCTCCAGTATGATCTGTTGGACATGCATGAATTTTACGGGATTATTAAACGAGATTGTCTGAGAAGGAGAGCAGCTACATCTACCAGCTACAGGGGATCTTTAGCTAGATCAAGGGGGCTCTAATCGAGTGTGACTAACTGGAGGGTGAGCATATTATTTACTTAATAGAATCTAGATATGCTTAGCTTTCTGTTTGACTCCACCCAAAGAGACGACTGTAAGACATTAAAGCTACTATATGTGTGTGCCTGTGGGCACTACCTACCAGCATTTGGTAGCCTCGTGTGCTCTCAGCCGAGTAGGAGACCACCATCACGCATAAGGTGATGCAGTCGAGCACAGTGACATCATCGTCCTCGTCGTGGTAGCAGAAGTCAATGGCCTTCAGGGGCTTCTGCTCCTTCACCAGCTCGGCTATGTTGAGCGGATCCGGCGAGGGATCCTCGAGGCTGAGCAGCAAGTTGAAGAGGCAACTAGATTGCACCTTGTGCGCCTCGCCATAGGTGCCATCCTCATCCGTGTCCAGTATTGCCGAAACGGAGCCAAACATTTGGAGTATGAACGGCTTGCGGTTCAGCAGATAGAACTGCTTTACGGCGTACTCGATGGTCGTGGTGATCAGCTTGTTGGTCTGGTGAAGCGAGTACACCTGCAGCAGGGTGGGCATGATCATGAAGTAGCCATTCGTGGAGAAGATATTCTTGAAATTGAACGCCGCATTGATGAAGGTGGCCATCACATAGCGCATAATGCACGAGTCCTCCGCATGCAACATGGACGCGCCGGAGAGCACATTCAGGAAGAGTTGAATGTCCGCCGAGTAGGCGAAATTTCCGGCCATTGCCTCGAACATGCGCGCGATCAAGCGCACCCACATGAACTTGTGCAGCACATCCAAGCCGAGCAACACCTTGCCGTATTCCCCGCCATGATGCAGATCGAGGTCCACCTCGAGCGCCTTGCGCGGAAACGAGGGCAGCTTCATCAGTTCCTCGTGCAGGAAGACGACGCGCTGCACGACCATGTCCACGTTCTTCAATATAGCCCACGTCAAGTGCACCTTGCCGATTTCCACAAATTTCTTGGTCAACTCTTGTTTCTGCAGCGCCAGAAATGATTCCTCTGGACGCATCAGCATCAAACGCACTTCCGGGTACTGGGAACGCTTAAAGAAGTACAAGTCCCGTATATACCAATTGGGATTCAGTATTTTGTCTGCGAAATGAGATAGATTTCGATTAGTTTTAGTAGAAGTGCTCAGCTGTGATAGTTCGTTGACGTACTGCTCTTGTAGTCCACCAGACAATAGTGGTTAATGCTCTTCTCGTCAATGGGATAGTAGTCTAACGCCTCCTTCAGCAGCTGGCAGAAGAGCGTATCCTCCTGCACGGGAAACTGCGATGGAATGTTGTAGTCATCATCGGCCGGTCCATGCACCACGATCTTCTTGGCAGCGGGCACATTGGCTGTGAGCAGAATCGAGGCATCGCACTGCTCCTTGCGCAATATTTGCTTCAGATCCTTGAACATGATGCCGTGCACAGAGTGCACCACCATCCACAAAACTGACAAGGCCGAGCCAACGAGCTGCAAAGACAAGGAGTTAGCTATTATGTGGAAGAGAGATGCTTCGGGTTGAGCCCACCTCCTGCTTGAGCTCGTTGGAGGAGCGCACATAGAACATGATGTAGCCAATGATGGAGTTGTAGAGAGCAAAGGCAGCTTGTTGGGGCAGGCGAGGCACAAAGCGAATCAAATGTCGCAAGAGCTTGAACATCTGATCCTGTCGATCTCGAGTCAAGCGCTCGAACACATAGCGCAAGAACAGGGCGGACTCTTCGACCAGGCACACCCAGATGACCTGGTAGGCCACCTCGTAGACAGCGTTGCCATCAGATCCGATGGCTGCATCGTCCAAGCAGCCGACAATCTGCATTACCGAAGAGCACAGCACCGAGGGGAA